CAGTGAAAAGGACATCTATAAAATCTATAAAGGGGTCTCAGTCTCTCTCTCTCTCTCTCTCTCTCTCTCTCTCTCTCTCTCTCTCTCTCTCTGTGCGTGTGTGTGTGTGTGTGTGTGTGTGTGTGTGTGTGCGTGTGTGTGTGTCCAGAGTTCAATCTCAGGTGTCCACCCTAATCATTCTCACTTTTTAAGGTAGCATTTTCTACTCTTACCTGGCACTTGCCCAGCTAGCCAGGCTGGCCAGTCAGCAAGCCCCAGGGACCTGCCTGCCTCTGTCTCCCTGGTGCTGAGACTGTAAGAGCTCACTATTACACCTAGCTTTTTTTTTTTTTTTTAATGCATTTTGATGATAAGACCCAGGCCATTATGTTTGCAGGGCAAGCCCTTTACCAGCTGCATCATCTCCCCAGCCCTGACTTCTGCTGTTACCACACTTGGATATTTAAGAATTATCCATTCTTTACACAGACACTAGTATTAGCTCAAATGCCAATACAGAAAAACAATGATCAGAGACGTTGCATTTTGTTTAACAACTTATGGGAATAAAGCCTTTCTCATTGAATCCCAATAACCTAAGATTTCAAGTTTAACAATCTCACTCTCTAGAGATGACCATTTGAGTGAGTTAACAACATCAACAACAACAACAAAACAACCAAGTAAAAGCTCAAATGGGGATGCCTTATTTCGCGTTTTCTGCTCTTTTTCCTACTTGTCCTTTGAGAGGTCCTCAGTATGTAGCCCAGACTGCCCTCAAACTTGCAATCCTCCTGTCCTAGCTTCTTAAGTGCTGGGATTATATGTGCTCTGATTTTTTAACCCATGTTGTGTACTTGTAATTATCCGAAAGGACCAGATTTCTTAGCCAGGAACTATATATCCAGTGCTCAGCCATGATACACCCAGAAGCATTGCCTTTTCAGTATCTGGAAAAGCTTGATACTATAAAATAAGATCTTGTCTACTCATTCCAGAGAAAGGCAGGGAAAAGGGCAGACCTGAGATGGGGATTAATCTCAGTTCACTATAATCACATTGCCACCAAGTCTTTGCCTCAAAGCAGAGCACAAATGCACCATGTCCTGCCCAAAGGGGCAACAAGGCTTTTCTGTGTCCAAAGGGCAAGATTCCATCTAGATTTGAACAAAAAGGTACTTAAAAAGTATGTTGCCTTACTACATCTGTTTTTCTTTCTTTCTCTTCCTTCCTTTCTTCTTTCTTTCCTCCCTTCCTTCCTTCTTCCTTCCTTCCCCCCTTCTCTCCCTCTCTCTCTTCCTCCCTCCTTCTTTCCTTTCTCCTTCCCCTTCTTTTTTTAAAATAAGGTCTCCCTATGTAGCCTTTGCTGGCTCAGAATTTGCTATGTGGAGTAGGCTAGCCTCAAACTCACAGAGATCTACCTGCCTCTGCTTCCAGAGTTCTGGGATTAAAGACTCGGCACTACATCCGTGTTTTATCATAGACCAGACATTTCCAAATAGCAAGAAAGATTAGGTATCCCAGCTATTAAGAAAGAACCAGTATCTCAAAAATGTACTGGGTACCTTCAGCTCTGTTTGCATTAGGGAAGAACATGATGTACACACAGAGCAATGATGATGAGATGTCTTCCAACTATGACCAAGCCAGTGTCATAACACAGTCCTCTGAATGTGGCCGAAACTCAGCTTCGGGGTTAGTTGGGGTGCTGGCTGATCTCCAAGAGCTCATTCAGGGGCCTCGTGGAGGTTCAGGGATTCCAGGTGAAGAGTGTCTATGCTTATGCTTTTGGTTCATCTTTTTCCAGGCCTTAGTTGCTTCCTTAAGGAGAAAGGGGCTTTCGTCAAGCCTTTGAATGCTTTCTTGGTGGGCCCCCGGTAACGAAAAGCATTTCCGGTCATTGCTCTGTCATTTTGCCCTGGGTCTCTCCCAGGGGAGAAAAGTGTATGACTCGCAAGGTTCCTGGCAGCATTGAAAGAATTCTCCCGGCAGCCAGCCCTCCTCTGGCAAGTCCCCGGACCCTTTCTTTCCTCCTTTCCTTTCCCATGGAATCCAGTCCTTGCATTTGTCTTTCAAACTTGCCCTTAGACACAGCGATTCAAGCTCGATTTTCTCCTTGAATGCACTCTCTCTGTGAAAGGGGCTTTTCACCAAGAATGTGCTGCCTGAGCTCCCTCATGCCAGAGGGCCAGACAAAGACCTCCACGCTGGGCAGAAGTTTTACAGACATTCCCACATGCCTGATCTCCACTACATTTGGCTAAAACTAACCACAGATGCATGAAAAATAGAAAAAGAGGGGGAAAATACTCCCAAAGCAATAGAGAGGTAACTGTGGCAAAATTGTATAAATTTGGTTTTTGTTTTTTTTTTTCATCTATTTTTGGGGATACCTTAATTCAGATTCAAGCAAAGGAGGCTTTACAGCTACATATATGGAAAATGTGAGTAAATGTAGGCATTCATGTCTTAAACACTGTTAAATACCTCAGAGTTAAAAAAGTTCAGCTAATAACTTGTATGTGCTTAGAATCGCTGCAGATATAATACAATAAATAGTTTTTCTTTTTCTTTTTGGTTTTTTTCGAGACAGGGTTTCTCTGTGTTGCTTTGTGCCTTTCCTGGAACTCGCTTCGGAGACCAGACTGGCCTCGAACTCACAGAGATCCTCCTGCCTCTGCCTCCCAAGTGCTGGGATTAAAGGTGTGCGCCGCCGCCGCCGCCGCCGCCGCCGCCGCCGCCGCCACCACCACCACCCGGCTAATAAACAGTTTTTCTTATTCCAGAGTGAAATATAAGAAACTAGGAGAATTTCACTTCACTTCTGACTTTTCTGTAAAGGCATGATAGCAGACACATGTCTTTTTTTTCTGGTTCCCCAAATGTTATAAAAAGTCACTAGGAAAAGAGGCACTCACAAGACAAGCATCTAAATATCCAGGTGCCTGCTCACGTTAAAATTCCCCAAGGCTAGCTCTCTGCCGGACAGGGCTTCTTAAGTTTCAGGCAGGCGATATGCCCATGTGCGGGCTCCATGTGCTGCGACCTCACCGAATCAGAGCAGAACAAAAGCTGAGGGACTAAACACCATCCCCCACCCCCGCTTGCTTCGACGTTTGCTTCCTCTGTTTGTGTCCCCTTGCTTCCTCTCTGAGCTCTAGACAGCTCAACGCAGCTGTGCACCCAGGAAGAGAAGATGACCATTTGTGAGGCTTCAAGGATCTGAAAAGTTACCTCAAACCCCACATTTCCTTTTGCTCATATGACGGAAGTCTCTCAAAGATCTGTTTTCAGTGAGACTTATAAATGTAGTTGTTAGCGCTCATTAAAACTCACTAAAACCTGGGCTGGAGCTATAGCTCAGTTGGTAGCATGCTTGCCTAGTGTGTATGCCGCCCTGGGTTCAGTGTCCCAGTACTATATTAGTTAGGTGTGGTGGTGCCTGTCTGTAGGCCCAGCTTTTAGGAGAAGAGGTAGAAGAATCAGGAGTTCTTGGCTACATGAGACCAGCCTGGGCTACATGAAACATTGCCTCAAAATAACAATAAAACTCTTGTGAATAGGTGATTTTGCATTATATATATATATATATATATATATATATATATATATATGTATACATATATACATATATTTACTTTATGCATGTGTACTTGCATGAGTTTATATGCATCATGTGTGTACAGGTACACAAAGGAGGTCAGAGGGCATTGGGTTCCTGGAATTGAAGGTGTGAGCTGCCTGAAGGGCATTTAGCCACTAAGCCATCTCTCCAACCTGACTTTGATCTTGAACCCAATTCTGAGGTAGTTTTTACAGTGATGGTGTGAGCATGAAAAAGGATACTGAGGGCCAGGCATGGTAACTTACTCATTCAAGATTGTAGGCCACAATGTCAGGCATTTCATGTTGAGCCTACTTAGTCATAAGACAGCTGCACAGGTGTAGAGAGCTGAGGTAACTGTTCAGTACACAGCACACCTTTGCTTACATTCAGTACCCTTCATAAAGCAGGAAGTTATGTCAATGTTAAGTCAAATGCAGCAGGACAGAAACTTGTTTTTGACCTCATTTGATTCTTTGGTCTTATAACAAGTTACAAGGGTTACAGAATGGAAAGTTTGGTCCCTTGTACCAAACAGAAAGTAAAGGTCCCTTTATTTGGATCTTTTTCATTTCTGTTTTAATTACGGCCAAGAATAGTTTGACTGGAGCCAGTAGAGTTGACCCGCTGACCTTGTCCTTGAATATTCCTTCCTAGGAACCTGACTAGCCGAGAGTGCAATAGTTCACGAGCATTGCAGCCTGTTGCAAAGCAGAGCTGCTCCTCCCGGGATCTAGAATAGGGAGGGCAGACCTGTGCTGGATCACTGCAGCCGGGTGAATTAGCAACCACTGGAGAAAAAGCACACTGTGTCCATACCACCTCAGATGCAACCAGAACAACAGCTGCCGCTCATCACTCAGCACAACTCTGTAGTCCTTCTACCATGCTGTAGGTGAGAGGGAGAGGTCCATCCAGAAGGGTCCCCATCCATAGGAACACAAGGCTATTTCAGGGCATCTGAGTTAGAAGTGGGTAGAGTTAGGTCAGGCTTTTCTGAGATGTGATATTTTAAACAGACATGGAAGAGAGTAGAAAGTAGGAGAAAGGGAGTTCCCAGCTATAGGCAGTGCCTATAATGTGTGATGGTGTTGAAGCAGGAAAGACCTTTGTCTTGATGCTGGGGAGGAGCTTGGCAAGGCTGGAAGGAGCTGAGTGAGTAAGGGGAATGCAGAAAGGTGATGGAGGATCAGACAGAATCTCACCACCCACTTATCTGCTGGTCGGTCACCAAAGGGCTTAGAAGAGAAGTTAGTTTGTTGTGGTTTGAAAGAAAATGGCCCCCAAAGAGAGTGGCACTATTAGGAGGTATGGCCTTGTTGGAGGAAGTATGTCATTGTGGGGGCAGGTTTTAAGATCTCTTTTTCTCAAGTTTCCCTCAGTGCAACAATCACTTGATTTCCTGTTGCCTCTGAGTCAAGATGTAAGGACTGTCAGCTCCAGCACCATGTCTGCCTGCACGCCACCTAAACCTCTGAAACTGTAAGCATGCCACCCCAATTAAAGGTTTCCTTTATAAGGGTTGCCATGGTCATGGTGTCTGTTCACAGCATTGAAGACCCTAACTAGGACAGTCTCTCAAAATCTTAATCATGGAATGCCATATGATCCAAGGTATACACTTCTGGGTATATATCTCAAAGAATGAAAAACAGGGGCTCAAACAGGTATTTCCATATCTACAGTTCATAACAGCAATAGATAAAATGTGGAATCAACCTAGGAGTTCATTGGCAGATTAACAGACAAAGAAAATGTGGTGCACATGTATAGTAGAATATTATTCAGCTTGAACAAAAGAAACGAGATGCTGACCCAGGTTACAACATGAATAAACCTTGAGGACATCATGCTAAGTGAAACAAGCCCCGCAGAAAAGGACAGGCATTCTGTAACTTCACTGATAGGAGTCATTGCTGGGAATGACTGAGGGAAAGAGAATGAGGAGTTACTGTTTAACAGGTATAGAAATTCAGTTTTGCAAGATGAGAAAGTTCTGAAGATAAATGGTGGTGATGGTGACACACATGAATGTAATCAGGACCGCTCAGGTATGTACTTAAAAACAGCAACTTTTTGTAAAAGTCTTGTGTGGTGGCCCATGCTTAGAATACAAGGCTGGACAGATAGAGATGGCAGATCCCTGAGTCTCACTGGCTCTCCAGCCTAGCCTACTGGTGAGGCCAGGCCCGAGAGAAAGCTTGTTTCAAAAATCAAGGTGTACTGAGCTTGTTTCAAAAAGCAAGGTGTGGCGGGGCGGTGGTGGTGCACGCCTTTAATCCCAGCACTTGGGAGGCGGAGCCGGGTGGATCTCTGTGAGTTCAAGGCCAGCCTGGGCTACTGAGTGAGTTTCAGGAAAGGTGCAAAATGGCATACAAAATTCTCTCTCTCTCTCTCTCTCTCTCTCTCTCTCTCTCTCTCTCTCTCTCTCTGTCTCTCGTAAGTGTATATTACATAATGTATATTTTACCACAATAAAGCAAAAATTATGTTGGAGTGGAGAAAGGGGGCGGAGTAGAATTGGAAGCTAAGTGATGGGGAGACTGGCTTTCTGGTTTTTCTCATAGCCCTATAAAGAACCCGTTGGCTTAGAGTGGAAGGCACAGTCATGAGTAGAAGCAAAAAGGCCTTCCATTCTTGTGGAGGTGGCTTGGTGATGGACTCGGCGTGGAGACAAGAAAGAAAGAGTTGAACATTGGGCTCTGAGCAAGAAGAGAAATGAGACTACCACTGATTAGACCAGGTTGTAGCCCTGGTGGTGTAGTGCTCGCCTAACATGGAGGAGGTCCAGGGTTTAATTCCCAAGCACCATATATACTGGGTGTGGTAGTGCATACCTGTAAGGTCAGTGCTAGGGAGGCAGCAGGAGGAGGATCAGGAGTTTAAGGTCATTGTGAGTTTGAGGCCAGCCTAGGATCTATCAGACCCTGTGTAAATACATATATACATAAAAATAAAATGGCCACTAGTTGCAGTGGCAAGTGCTGGGAGTTGGGGGAAGCAAGCAGCAGGGTTCAAATGTTCAAGCTGAGACACAGCACCTTTGACATGATTGTGGTAGATTCAAGGAAAGACAGGCAAATGGGAGGTTGTAGATACAAGTCTGGAGTTTAGAGGACATTCCAGGGAGGGGACGTGAGATGACAGAATGGCATTATTGAAGCCACAGGATCATGTGGAGGGTGCCTACCAGTGAAGAAAAACAAGAACAACAAAAAATACATTTCATGAAATGAGACAAGCCCACACCAGATCTGGCTGGTCAGCCTTCAATTCCAGCAAATTAGCTTGTTTTTCCTCCTTAACCAAAGTTGTGGGCGCTTTGAATGATGTTGGTGCCTAAATATAAAAATCTTCTGGTGCCTAAATATAAATATCTCCTGAAGACCAAGAGCACAGGACAGGCATTGAAGACCAGAGTTCTGGCAGTCCCATGGACCCCTGCCCATCTCTTCCAGTTCCAGAATGCAGATGGTCAGTGATTTGGGGCACAAGGAGCCTTTAACCTTCGAGGCTAGAGTCCATGTAGGCCCTTATTAAATTCACCTTCCCTAATTTCCTTTGCATGAGAGTGCTGAACAGGGGAAAGAGAGAAAAAACACTTAATTGTGATACACATGAGTGGAGACAGCATCTAGGCCCACAGTACACCTTGAACTATGAAAACTTCCCATATTCCTGTCTGCTTGTGTTTATATAGTAAATCTCCATTTTTCTTCAGCCAGTCTGACTGAGGATTTGATGGCAGCAAGTAACAGAATGAACTAAAATCCCTTTAAGAGAGATGAGCATAGACAGCTTTCCCATCTTCTGATGTCTTCATTCTCTTCGGTGTGTTCAAGTTTTCAGTACAAGTCTTTCACTTCCTTGGTTAGATTTATTCCAAGTTATTTATTTTTTTTCAGGTTTGTCTTAGGGTTTCTATGGCTGCAACAAAAACACCATGACCAAAAAGCAAGTTGGGGAGGAAAGGGTTTATTTGGCTTACACTTCAGCATTGCTGTTCATCACTGAAGGAAATCAGGACAGGATCTCAAACAGAGCAGGATCCCGAGGGCAGCAGCTGATGCAGAGGCCATGGAGGAGTGCTACTTACTGGTTTGCTTCCCATGGCTTGCTCAGCCTGCTTTCTGATAGAACCCAGGACTAGCAGCCCAAGGATGGCACCACCCACCACGGTCTGAGCCCTCCCCTGTTGATCACTAAATGAGAAAATGCCTTACAGCTCAATCTCATGGAGGCATTTCTTCAGCTTAGGCTCCTTCCTCTGGTGACTCTAGTTTGTGTCAAATTGACACACAAAACCGCCCAGTACAAGGTTGATCTGAATAGAATTGTTTCCTTGATCTTTTTCTCTGTATGCTTGTTGTTGGTATACAGGAAGGCTACTGATTTTTGTTGTTAATTTTGTATTCTATTCTCCTGCCTTGTTGAGTGTTTACCAGCTGTGGTGTCTTTTTGGTGGACTCACTAGGGTCTTTTATGTATAAAATCATACCATCTGCAAATAAAAATACTTTGACTTCTTCCTTGCCTATCTGTGTCCCCTTTGTTACCTTCACTCATCTTATTGCTTTAGCTAAGGCTTCCAGCTTTATATTGAACAGGGGAGGGGGAGAGAGAAGACATCCTTGTCTTGTTCGTGATTTTAGTGGAAATGTTTTGAGTTTTTCTCCCTTTAGAATGATGTTGGCTGTGGCCTTGATACATAGTGCCTTTGTTATATTGAGCTACATCCCCTGTTTTCCTAGATTCTCCAGAAGTTTTATCATGAATGGATAATGGATTTTGTTGAAGGCCCCTCTGGCATCTAATGAGATAATCATGTGGTCTCTGTCCAAGAGTCTAAGCAGTGGATTGCTTTTAATGCTTTATGTATGTTGAATCATCCCTGTACCTCTGGATAAAGCCAACTTGATCATGGGGGATAATCTTTTTGATGTGTTCTTGAATTCAGTCCATAAGTATTTTGTTGAGAATCTTTGTGTATGTGATCATTAGAGAAATTGGTCTATAATTTGGGAGAGACTAGTAGTGGGGTCGGGGGGGGGGGGTGGATTGGGACAAGGGACTGGGAGGTGGCCTTGATCAAAACACGTTGTAGGCATGTGCAAAATTTTCAATGAAAAAAGAGAGAGGAACTGTCAGCCTAAGAGTCTAGTGGTTTACAAAAGTGCCAGCTACCATGCACATACATACATATGCCACATCAGATCCCTTCTCTTCCTCCTCCCTTCCTCTCTCCCCTCTTCCTGCCCCTCTTCATCCCTGTTTTACTCTCCCTCTCCTTATTCTTCCCTCTCTCCCTCTGTCTTTCCTGTAGTACACTGTGGAGCTTATAGTTAGCTTTCATTTCCTGGATGTGCTCTAGTTGGTCCAGACATGGAAAAAGATGAGGAATTGGTTGGGGAACAAATAGTCAAAGTTCTTCTGAACATGTAAGAACTTCCTATATGCTTAGCAAATACTCCCAAAAATTGGCATTTGGGTTGGGAAGAATTAACCACCCACATTCTTGGACTAGGATAGGGTTACTATGATTTCTGTTGCCATAAAGCTGAGGATCTGGGGTCCGTTGAGACATGTGTGCATTTTACTGGCTGAGCTATCTCTCTGGCACATAGTCACTCATTTAATGGGTGTGTTCCTGTGTGTGTGTGTGTGTGTGTGTGTGTGTGTGTGTGTGTGTAGGTACACATGCACACATGTGTATATGTGTGGAGACCAAAGGACAGCATCAGGTGTTATCCTCAGGAAGGCCCTCCACTTTCTTTGAGACAGGCTTTCTCATAGGCTCTTGACATTTACTAATTAGACTAGGGCAGCTGGCCGGGGAGCTCCAAGGCTACAGGGAGGGGGGGGGGGGTAGGAGATTACAGGCTTGAGCAGGCCATGCAATACACTGAAGGTTAATTGATAACAGTCATGTCATAAGACAAACAACTTTCATCTGAAGGAGCCCATAGCCTTGTCCAAAATTACTAATCTATCTTTGCCACTGTCCCAACAAGCTAGACAAATATTACTTCTCATCGCTCTGTGAGTTTGGGTCAGTTTGGTGAATGACACGGTGGAGCTGGCGGCAAAGGGAGGGGTAAATTTAATAATGTGTTCTCCAAGTATTTCCTAAAAGAATACTGAATTGTGGGAAGGACAAGCTATGATGAAGACCAATAAGAAAAAAACAGTGAGCCGGGCGGTGGTGGCGCACGCCTTTAATCCCAGCACTTGGGAGGCAGAGCCAGGTGGATCTCTGTGAGTTCGAGGCCAGCCTGGGCTACAGAGTGAGTTCCAGGAAAGGCACAAAGCTACACAGAGAAATTCTGTCTTAAAAAACCAAAAAAAAAAAAAAAAAAAAGTGATGAGTGGGTTTCTTACTTATAAAATAAATATGATCAATTTGGATCTGGTGGTCTATAATGACTTATAGTACAAAATACTGAGACCTGGTTATTTTAAAAATATTTTTAAAATTGTGTGTG